TTTAGATGGTTGATAAAGAAAATTAAATAACACTTGAAGGGCATTTATATCTTTTTCAAATGCCACTTAACGGCGGGTTAACAGCTAGTTAACGGTAGGTACTAGATTGCCACACTTTAAAAGTTTGGGTACTGAATTGTCACATTTTAAAGTTTGTGAACCAAAGCGGCATTAGGCCCAAAGTATAGGGTACTAATCAGAAATTTTCCCTTTAAAATAATATGTAAACAGTAAGAGTAGAGTTGGTCAATTTCCTAAACCATATGGATAGTTTAAGAGATTTGCCTTTTTTTAAGAAGGAGCATTTAAAAAGTGGATTATACCCATTGTTGAATTAAAGATTTCTTCTTTAGACATGTATCTACCCCTATCAATTTTAGAAAAAAAATGTTAACTTATTTATATATCTATAAAAGATGCCCAATTTAAAAGATGTGGGACTAATTATGTGTTTGATTCAATTCCTAATTCAAATAAAAGATTCATTATAAATACTATCAATGAAAGTGGTCTCTTTCAAGTTGTCAATTGTAAATTGAACCTCGTTTGACTTTTTTTTTTTTTGAAAATAAAGGACTCAAATTAAATATATCATATAAATACTAAATCTCGAATGCAAAACATTATATAGGTTGTTGTTTGTCCTTAGTATAGGGTCATTCTCTATGAATATTTAAAGCCTAAGGTTTTCATTTTCCATAGTCCATGGGGGTGCGAGTCCATTCTTTCACGTTTCTTTTTAATACCATTAGTCATCACTCATTAGACAGTAATCAAGCCTTGCATGAGTAAAGGTACACGGATAAAAAATGAAAACCATGAATATTATGAAAAAAACATTAAAGGAAATAATTGTACAAGTTTCAAAAGGATATAGAATAGAAGGCACTGATTGGTTTGATTGGAACGATAGAGATTACTAACCGAAAAAAAAGTTGAAATTCCACCTATAGATCTGGTTTGACATAAAGGCAGTACTATACCAACAGTCGAACAAAACTTGTACTACGATTCTTTAGAAAATAGAAACTCCGGGCCTATTCATTTGTTATGAACTCTGACATCTGAAATTGTAATAATTACATTAAAAGGTATATTAGTATTGGTGAACTTTTCTTTTTTTTTTTTTTTTTTTCTGAACTTTGAACGCAAAGAATGTTATTCTGAATTTTGAATCTTAAAAATTATCAAATATCCATTTTGACCCCATATACTAGAGTTTTTATTTGTCTTTTTGGGGGTATCATTGAAAAATAAAATGTTGTATGATTGCCCTTTAAGAAATAAGAGGAAATGAATAACCATTTTTATCTTAAAATTAAAATATTCCTCTTAAGAAATAAGAGTTAAGAGGAAACAAACACACCCTCAGCATCATAACTCACAAGTCATAACTAGGACGAGGATCCTGACATTACCTGGAACTGGCAAGCAAGGTTTTTAAAGCTGGATCGGACAAGGAATCATTCTGGGTCTAGTTCCCGGGTTGAACTATCTGACCGTTCTGTTCGAACGGATGGCCTACTGTGACAAAAAATTAAAAAACAAAAAAAAAAATGACAAAAAACCATTCCCAGGTCAAATGGTTCGATGGTTTAACTGCCTGATCAGCAGCAGCTCACTGACCAAATCAACAGTTTTGGGGTAAAACAGAACAGATCATGTGACCGGTTCCACTGTTCGGTCAGGTGAGCAGTTCCTGATTTCTCTGGTCCAACCGTCCGGTCAGGTCCAGTTTTGAAAACATTGCTGGCAAGTATTATTGGATACGAACCTGGATGTATAGACCCAGCTCCTTTGTTCAATCCAAATTCATTAACTCAGAGGACACCATGAAGATGATGACATTTTTCTCGTTCTAACCTTGCGCTTTTAGCTATAACAATATTTAACAGAAGCTTGAAGATTCAGGCATCCTTGGCTTCATGTCAAGGGATTTGTTTCCAATTGAACAACACGAATGAGACTCCTGTTAATCCTGTTTTTATATTTTTGAAACATAATGAAACATTTTCTTTTTAAAAAAAGTTTCAACCTGATCTATTGCGGACAGCGGACCCAATTCTATTCTGGAGTGATGCCAGGTAAGATCATCAGACGTGCTCGTCCAGACGGTTTCTGTCATCGTCCCGGCAATGACCTAAAATAAGAACTGCAGACTTCTGTTGTATGGCCAAGGGCTTCACAGATTAAAAAAAAAAGGAAGAAGCAAGAATGTTCGCTCAAACAGCTCTAACAGGATTTCTTTCCAAAGTCATCTAGCTTGCCATGACCCTCTGATGTTAAAATCCTGTTCTTTTGTCTCTTTTCTTTTTTAAGATCGCATTCAAATTTTCTTCCAGACGAGATCGAATTATCAAAAAGATTGGCATGAGAAGGTACTGTTTTGGTACCTGCATTCATCAATGTCAGTAATTCTGTAGTTACATACTTTACCTTATTAAGGAAGAAAAATATGGGAGGGGAAAAGGGAAGAAACTAACATGCACCAAATATATTACTTCAAAGTACCATCAAAATCTTCATGAGTTTACCAGTTAAAAGAACAGAGGCGCAGAGCTACATGTCCGACCAAAGAAGACCTCTCTATGACAGAAATTTGGAAACTGCAACAGTGACTCGCAAACATATATGATGGATGTATCATGGACAATTTTTCTCAATAAGTTCAGTAAAATCATAGCAAACCCTATTTTACAGCATAAAGGCTTCAGTATTTACAGAAGACAACATAAGACCAGGAATGCTTGCTTGTCCAATGTCTCGAGAAACAGGTAGGTACAGATGATTGCGGATGACAAAGATGATGCAGGACTTTTTAGCCTTACAATAACCAGTTGTACAAAGTAATGAAAGAGAAACTCTTTCCAAACAAACTTCTGACATCGGTACCAAAACCCTCCTTACAAGCTCCTTGAGCAGCACAAAACCCTATTGGGACAGAGATATTTGTGGTACCAAAAGATCTAAGCCTCACATCTTATAAGTAGCAAATTGACCATGAAGATACAGGATTCCATTCACCAAAACCTATTTCACCCAATGGAAAATCTCCCACACCTGGATAAACAAAGGAAGAGGAGTTGATGGTAACACCTAGAAGACATCAGAACATGCTTAGATCCATACAGTACCTTCCACAAATTATGTATTAAAGAAGTTCCAATGATGTTCGGCTGGTAGGCTATCTTTAATCTTTTCAAGTCTCTTGAGTATTTCCAAGAAAGTAGGTCTCTGGTTCATGTCAGCAGCCCAGCACTGCTCTGTCAGCCTAAAGTATCCAACAAAATGAAATCAGTACCTTCTTGTTCATGTTTGACCAAGGAGATGCTAAGAGATCAAATAATGTGCTAACATAACAAAGATGTCTCCATCTAAGGGGGATGAGGAAGAAAAGTAAAATCAAGGGCATTGTAGAACAATGTGTCGGCCACCTGATGTAGACAGAGAAGCAAGAATCAGTGGAGAATTAAATCAGTTTTCCAATTGCTACAATTCAGAATTTTTGTCTAATTGGGATTTTTTCAAGTTTTTGAATTTATTTTTTAGTTTCTCAGTGTCTCAGGAATAGGGTTTTTTTCTAGAAATTTACTGTTCTTAGTAAAAGTCAAAATTATTATTTATAGATTATAGTAACTTTTGGACTTAATATTTATATGGTTGGATCAAGGCTTAGTTGAGAGTTCAGTTAGCATATTCTGGTTGTTGATAGATTTTCTCTCTTTTTCCCTTTCTCACTTATTTCTTCTTCTAAGTGCTCTCTCTATTTGCTATTTACAGCAAGAGTTTTCTCATTCTTCCTAGTCTCTCGTTCATTCCTCTGTGGACAGTGAGCTGTTTACGTACTTCACCTAATTCTTCATCCTTAATCAAACCAAATCATCTTCCTTCACCCTACAAAGCCCACCACCATATCTGAAATTTGTAGGACACCCACCCCTACCTGTTCTACATCACCACCTCTTGGATGGCCAAATAGTCATAAAGTCAATAGATGCCTAAAAACTCCAAACCGAACCATCCATTGAAAAAAAAAAACCTGTGATCACAACAGGGTAGGTTGAGTTTTTGCAGAAATGCTAAATTATTAGATGATGTTCAAAGCATTTGATTTTTGTTACTTCTGTTTTATCGCATATCTAAGAGGTGGCCCAACTAGTAAAGAATGTTGACCATTTAGGTGGAACATAATATGTTAAAGCACAAATTAACCACTTTCAGGTCCCAAAGAGAGTAAATGTTCTATAATTCACATACTCTTTCAGTTCAGCACTGTAGCTTCTAGCACGAAAGACAGGCCTATGACCTTCTGCCATGTGTTTGGCTGCTTCATAAGGTTCATAGTTGGTCAATGGAGGATCCCCTTCTAGCATCTACAGTAAATGTTGTAAAAATCATGTAATAAAGCCCAAATTGAAAAAAATAAAATAAAATAAAATAAAACCATATTTCCAATGCATAGCCACAACATAGAAGCAATTACCTCATACAATATCATTGCAAAAGAGAAAACGTCAACCTTTTTATCATATTTCCGATGCTTGAAAACTTCAGGAGCCATATACCGATCTTTTGTAGTGCTCCAAGGAGAAACAAATGAGGATGATGATAAAAGAAACTATTGTAATAGAACAATTTCAAGTATAGAAAAATGATAAATCCTTTAATGCAATACTCACAGCTTCCAGTCTCCCCAGTCATCTTGTACACATCATGAGAATTCTGAACCCTGATTAGTTTGCTTAATCCAAAGTCCCCAACCTTCAAATGATCTGCACTCGAGTTAACCAAAAGTACATTCCTAGAAGTTCAATCAAAACAAGATGTCAACACCACCATATTCCTGATAATTGAGGATAAGTCACGGGGTAGGGATGTTTCAAGAAGTTAGGACTTTGGACTTCGGGCAAAGTCATAATTGTTGCTGAAGAGACTTCCATTTACTAAATAACTTTCAATGTACATAGATCATGGAAATCTGCACAGCAGTTTGTGTTGATTATTTATTTACTTTTTATCCATTCACTGCCATTGTGTTTGAATGGAACCTGGAATGATTGTGGTTTTCTATTGCATTTGAGAAAACAAGACCATCTTGAAACAAAGTCATTTCCATTTTCTTAAGAAAGAAATTAGTTCTGCCCAGAAATTAGTCCGTTTTTCTCGACAATCAGAAATCTGAAACAACTCCATTGTAGATGATAACACTGGGTTCAAATGCTATTGGAAACTAAAATGAAATTGTTGGCTTTAAGTTCCATCCAGAAATGTAATGATCCTCAAGAATGAATTAATCAAGTCCCCCAAATAAGGGCATTTAGAAGACAAAACCCTGCTAAAATTTTCGGCACAAAAAAAAAGAAAAGAAATCAATCTCACCTTGGTTTTAAATCACGGTGAATAATGACATTTGGTTCATTATGTAGATAGGCCATGCCCCTGCCAAATAAGATCAAATTAATCATAATAACATTGAGATTTTACTGAATGAACTTCCCTTGAAAAAACAAAAAGAATGTTCATTGTATATCTTAAGTTAATGCATTCCCTAACACTACATAAACCTTTTTAATTCATGATGCCTTTAGTGAAAAATTGTCATTGTATCAAACCACCCCAGCCTACAAGGTATGGATATCATCTATGCTTAAAGCTTAATAAATTAAAACACCAAAGCTGAAGAAATTCTTCTTCTTGATCATAAACATGCAAAGTATGCTAACCCATCAAAATGAAAAAAAGCAAGGCATATAACACTTGATTCAGGCACTCAACTTGAATTGATGTAATTCACATTCTTATTTAACTTCTACATGATTCAAGCTGGATATTGGCCCCACGATATTGTTATGAAATTCTGATGTATTAAACTGCACATGGGGAGTTTACATAGTAAAGTTTCAAGCAGCAAGCCCATTTAAATGGAGGTCAATTCAAGATTTTGAAATATCTAGCAATCCCATGACTACATCATACATTTCCCTCTTACAACCATGATTACCTTCATTCCTCTCAAAGAATTGTTTTCTCACATCAGTATTCACTAAACAGCCATAATATGAATAAAATGGCCAAACAAACTAATGACGTTAGAAGCATGCAACAACCACCATTTCTAGTTAGAGGAGGAAATATCAGACTCTGAAGTACCTGGCAATGTCTAAAGCAAAATTTGTGGCTGTTGATGTAGAAAGTGAACCTTTTTCTTTGAGGTACTGATGGAGATCACCCTGATGCAGCAGTTGCAGCAAAGACAAATTGTCAATATTTTTCAGTTGTCTTTTAGAGAAACATCTCAAACTGGAATACAAAATGGAAGGAGAGAATTAATTTTACCCCTCTTAGAAACTCAGTAATTAGCATTAAAGGCTTTTTTTCAGTGACAGCTCCAAGAAATTGAACAATATTAGGGTGCCGCAGCTTCACCAATAGATTGACCTCATGCCTGAAGTCCTGGCTGAATCATGAGAACATACGAACAATAAGAAATATTCACTAAAAAAATGAAAACCTGCCACATCATAATAACCATTATTTTCTCTGTACAAGTTTCATTGTGGAGGCCTTCCATTGAACTTAGGGTTTACAATGTGAGAACTCCCTTCAAGTTCAATGAAATCATTATTCCTGGAACAAAAGGATCAGTGTATTATAGTGTTCAATGGATACATTGGTCTTCAGTATTGGTTAAATGCAGACTGTAATTCCTTATGTAGGTTCTGAACCCATTTGCAACTGGGATGTTCATTGTATTAATTTATCAATGAACGTAATTACTTTAACAAAATATCTTCGTACATTTCATGCCCTCAATATGTATGCTAATGTTGTTTGATGGATATAGAAAGAAACTATCATCAAAGAGTGAAGCATACAGAGCGATTATTGGGTAATAACTTGTCACCTTTCTCTTGTAATCTTTCTTTTTCTTTAATGAGCTTTCTTTCGCTTTTCAAAAAAAAAAAAAACATACAGAGCATCTTACATCACCAATCTATCATCAGAGAGAGATGGAAGAATGCGTTTCACGGCAACTGGTGTTCCACGCCAAAATGCCTTTAAAATCTCACCAAAAGATCCCTACAAGAAACAACTATAGTAAGCAAAAGCAAATCTTGCAGTGTATAAAAATACAGCCAGTTTTATGTTGTATATGAAATCGTGTGAATTTTCAGTCAGAGACCAAAGATGAAAACAAATATATCTGCTAGGGAGACATAAAAGGAAACTTTAATTTCCAGAATAAAGGGCATAATCATGTATCCAATTTCACAATAACTCTGTATTCCTCTAACAGCAGATATGGTATACATGATCACTGTAAATACAGATCAACATCAGTTTCTTGTCATCTGTAACTCTGTAAGTACAGATTATCAATGGAATACATGCATATATGGCCAACATGCAAACATGGGAATGATAAGTGATGGTCCTGAAATCCCTTATTCTGAAAACTAACAAAGTAGTTGATATATAGCAATAAATAGTCCAACTTACCATATTTTTTGACCATCAGAAACAACACTGCAAGTGGTTATAGATGGCCCTCAAACCAATTTGAAACAAAGGACAACATATTTGCAATATATAGCTGAATAGATGTTATGCTTCCTCTGTTATCTTTTTTTCCTTTCTCTTTTTTCTTTTTTCTTCTTAAAGGGGAAAAATCATCATTTTTTTTTATCAGAAAGAGAATTTGGAATTATATTAAAAATATGAATCTGGTTATTACAATGAGAGGGTGTATCCACCCAAAGTACAAATCCAACCAACAAAGTTACAAGATTACAATGGTGCCCAAAACAATTGTTGCCTATATACCCCTTGTTTTTCTAACATATCGGCCATCCCATTTGCTGGCCTTCTAACCCAATTGAAAGTTATGTTCAGCTCCTGCTTGATGCTTTCTATTTCCCTAAACTCATCCCTATAGATCCATGGCACAAGTTGCTTACTCCTGGTCCAAGAAATGATCAGCATTGAGTCTCCCTCTACTTCAAAGTGCTAAAATTTGATTGCTTAGCAATTCATAATCCTTGTAGTAATGCCATCGGTTCAGCCTTTATTGGAAATGAGTCTAAATCATATGGGGAAGGACTTGTGGGAGCTGGAAATGCTACTGACAGCAGTTCATTTCAGATTACCACAATAAAGTTTGATGGACCAAAGTATTTGGAATGGGCCCAATAGGCCATGGTGGCCATTGGAGGAGGAGGATAGTTGGGGTATGTGATGGGAGACACAAAGAAGCTAGCACAAGAGGATCCTTCTCTTGCTAAATGGGTCTAGGAGAATTATCTTGTTATGACTTGGTTATGCAATTCCATGCAGCCCCATACCAACAGAAACTATCTATGTGCAAAGACAGCTAAGGAGACTTGGGACAATATGAAATAAACATATTCTCAAGTCTCAACCCCTTAAAGTTGCTAGATCCTATGAATTGAAAAATGAGGTGAATAATCTTAAATAGGGGGAGAAACCTCTGCCAGTTTATTTCTCTACCCTAAAATCATTATGGCATGAAATTGATTATCTTAAAACAATTGAGTGGGAGAGCCACTCTAACTATGACATTGTGAGACAACTGCTCACTAGAGATAGTGTCTCTTTATCTCAGGCCTACTCTCTAATACATAGTGAGGAAAGTAGGAGGAAGGTTATGTTACAAATTTCATCTGTGGAGTCAGCTTTAGCATCCATAAAGCCGAAGCCTGGAGGTGATAAGGAGAAGGAAGGAAAAAGGGATGTGTTTTGTGACTACTATACTAAGGACACTTGTTGGAAGCTTCATTTTTTTTTTTTTTTTTTGAGTAGGTAAGGTCAAATGGACTGAGTACAAAGCAAATGGAAAACTTAAACTCAGAGTTAACTGACAGCCAAGAAGCAAGCTTAGACACTGCAGCCTGAATTAATTCCCCCGAACTTCTCACTTTGTTGCAGAAAATTCTGTTGTTTCTTTCAGTCCATAAAGTTACTAATACAGCCACAGGGGTGGTTCTCCAGATCAGATTACCCTTTTTCTTCAGGCCCGGCAAATTCCAACAGCACAAGAGATCCTTAATTGAACCAGGCATAACCCAGCCCAGCAGACCCCAGTTGCTTTAAGAAAGTGCTCCCAAATTCTTACAGAGATCGAACAGTGGATGCCAAGGTGATCAACTGTCTTTGGCAAAAGCCCACATAAGCCACAGCTAAGGTCTGAAAGCTGAACCCCTCTCCTAATCAAATTAGCTCTCAACAGGCACTTATTTAGAGCCATCACCCAAATCAAAAAATTATGCTTAGGTGGACTGACAGAATTCTACACCTGCTTGCTTGGAAAATCAGAATTACTTGCTCTACTCAACTTTGAAGCCAAAGATTTAACAGTAAAAACACCATCTCCACATCCACTCATCCTCCATATTAGCAGAGATAGATTGCCTTTGTAACAGTTGCAGAAGTGCCAACAGCTGACCCATCTCCCAGTCAAAAAGATTTCGTCTAAAAAGGGGACACTAGGAGATTGATTCCCCAGTCACATCATAAGAATCAACCACTGAAGCCTCAGGGCTCAGGGCACACTAAAAAAGCAACGGAAAGGCTTTAGCCAGGGGGGTGTCTAAACACCAGGAATCCTTCCAAAACTTTAACCTGTCTCCCCTACCAATCTTGAGAGAAAGGCCATCAGAAAAAGTCGGGAAAGATTTCAAAATTCCTTTCAAGAGTGAGCACCCCCAGCTCAGAAAGGGATCCAAAGATTTCCAATTACCTCATATTTCGAAGCAATTAGGGTCCTCCACCAAGCATTCCTCTCGACACCAAACCTCCAAAGCCATTTACTGAGGAGAGAAGAGTTGAAAACCTTCAGCTTCCTAATACCCAACCCACCATCCTCCATAGGGAGCCAGACCTGATCCCACTTAACAAGATGTATTTTTCTTTCTTCCTCCCACCCTCTCTACAAGAAATTTCTTTGAAGAGATTCTCGATTTTTCGCTACTTTGGAAGGGATGGGGAAGAGGGATAAGAAATATGTAGGTAGGTTAGAGTACTTTTAATGAGAGTAACTCTGCCCCCTGATCAAAGATATTTGGCTTTCCATGAAGCCAGTTTCCTTTCCATCCTTTCTACCACAGGATCCCAAATAGCACTCGAGGTACACTTGGCACCTAGAGGGAGCCCAAGGTATTTCCCGGGGAGATGATCCACTTTACATGCAAAGACTTCAGCCAACTTTTCCAAGCAGTCCACTTGGCCCACAGGAAAAAGAACACTCTTTCCCAAATTTACTTAGAGCTCTGAAACCACTTCAAACCAGCACAGGATCCCCAACATACTCTCCAACTGATCTCAAGAAACACCAATAAAACACAAAATATCATCTGCAAACTGTAACATGTGCAGTCCCCTTGCCTAATACCCCTTTAGCTTCAAAGAAACCCATAACTTGACCATTGATCAAAACTGAAAACTTAGGGGAAGTAACAAAAACTTTCATCCAGTTCCTCCATTTTTGCCCAAAATTCATTTGTGCAAACACAAAGTCCAAACATCTCCAATTCACATGGTCATAAGCTTTCTCAATATCCAACTTACAAACCTGGTCTGGTGTCCCAGATCTTCTCCTAGAGAGTCAATGAGTTCATTAGCAATAAGAACACTGTCCAGCATATGTCTCCCTGGAATAAAGGCACATTGACTTTCAGATATTACACTAGATAAAACCTTCTTCATCTTCTTAGCCAGGACTTTTGCCAGAATTTTATAAAAGCTATTGAGAAGACTAATAGGTCTAAAGTCTTTGATGTTAGCAGCCCCGGCCACTTTAGGAATGAGAAAAATAAAAGTGGCATTAATACTTCTCTACAAGGAGGCACTACTATGAAAATTCTGGAACACATTCAACACATCTTGTTTAATGAACTCCCAACACTTCACATAAAACAGGTGTGTCAAGCCTGTTTCCATCTTATCAATTGCTTCTTTAACTTCCTCTTCAGTGAAAGGTCTTTCTAGAAAAGCTTTCTGTTCATCAGAGAGCCTTTTGAAATGGGTGTGAGCAGGAAGAGGTCTAACCGACCAGGGTTCTGTGTATAGCTTTTTATAAAAAGAAGAAGCCAAAGCTTTGATCTCAGCAATCGATTCACCTATTCTGCCCTCACTCTCTAACTTACTGATCTCCTTAGCTCTATTTCAAGCATTGGCCATTTTGTGAAAGAAGCCACTATTCTTATCCCCCACCTTAAGCCAAGTAGATTTAGCTCTCTGTCTCCACCTGATTTCATCTCTAACAGCTAGTTTATCAAAAGGCACTTCAGTTTGACTCCTTTTCAGCCTTTGATCATGAGAAATTTGACCAGATTCTTTATCTCTATCCACCTCTTCAATCACACTAAGACATGCCTTTTTTTTTCAGTTTCAAAGGACAGACTATTCTCTAGCTTCCAAATTCTGATTTTTTTCTTTAATTATCCCCAATTTTCTGGCTAAAATGTGGGAGCTAGTACCATTTACTTCGCATTCATTTCAGATTCTGTCTAACAAGGGTAAGAAGCCTTCTTCCTCAGTCCAAGCATTTTCAAACCTGAAAGGGACCTTAACTTTCTCAGGAGAGCCACAATTTAACTGAATTTGGGCTATGGTCTGAAGACAGGTCTGGGAAGAGCAACTTGCTTGAAGGAGGGAAACAACTCATCCCAATCAGAGGAAACCAGAAATCTGTCCAACCTAACCAAAGTAAGATAATCTTGGTTGTTTGTCCAGGTAAAATTAGCACCCACCAGCAGCAGGTCTATGAGCTCAAACCTGTTAATAAAATACGCGAACATCTTCATTGCCCTTGATCTTCTACCCCTTGTGTTTTTCTCTTTGGTAGACAAAGTCACATTAAAATCCCCTCTTATAACCCAGGGACAACAAGATGCCCTCTAGTGCTTGCTAAATCCTCCCAGAGTTCACTTCTTAGGCTATTTTCTGTAGGACCATAGAGATTTGTGATTTGACATACCCCCCCCCCATTCTCCA